AAAAAGAGACAGAAGGATTCAGCATGTCTACTGTGCAATGCAGCAATAAATGATATATATAGGCCCATTAATGCAAAACATAAGTTAAGGAGAAGTTGACCATGATCTGATGTGCGTAGTTTCCTATGACAGAAGATAATAAATAAATAGTCATTGTTACTATTGCTATCCACTTGTTTTAGCCACTAACTTGCTTGATAAGTAAGTTGTTACGGTGATAGTGAGACAAACAAGAGATATTACAATCCCAATATATGTGATAGAGTCTAAGAACAATGTCAACCCTGTTCTCTCTGTTGGCTCAATAATTGGAGATGCATCCTAATATGATTATAAGTGATGTTGTGACAAATTATTAATAATATACTTACCAGTAGTATAGCAAAACTTGTTAAGTGATCACACTGGCACATAACTTGTGAATCATTACTGCTTGTGTTACAACCTTCACTTGACCAATCACCATATCCACCTGACAATGTAGCATAATATTTATTGTAATATTAGTTTTTATACCATCAAATGATTGATTCCAGAATGTACATTGTGGATTTGTACCATTGCTGTTCTGTATAAAACAAATTTAGAATCCAATGTAATATCTGTACACATCACTAACGGGATCTAACTGGAAACTGAGATCCACTGGTGGTTTGATTCCTCTAATAGTTCCTGCTCCTACAACACTTGCAGATACAATGATACTACTTACTTTCAAGTAGCTAAAGTTTCGTCTTAAGAACACGGATTCACTTAAAAAGACTAAGTTAGTGATTCTAGTATTATTGATAAAGTGTGGGACAGCATTGAATAAACTTTTTGGTAAACTAATTGAAGCTGTTGGTGAGCTAATTGGCTTTCCAAAAGATAAACTTTCAGAGCTTAAGTTTCCTTTTGATGTGTTGTTGATGACTACACTAAAGTTTTGACCACTTTCTTCAAAGTCATCAAGATCAACCTGTTGTATCGACACAGCAAATGATGTTTGTGCAATAACTACTGGTTCTGATGAGTTAGTGATTGGAATATTCTCCGCAACGGATTCAATAGCTTCCAATAATCTATAATGTATAATTCAATTTTCATGTAATTCCTTATTTATGATGTGAACTAACTTTGCTGATGTGTTTGATGATTTCTGACTTTCTTCTAAAACCTCCTGATTGACTACTAAAATGTTGTCCACCACTTCCAAAAATGTTGATGTCAGCTGGAAATATAATGTGCTTTATGTTAATTATTATAATTATATAAATTACTGTTATATTTCCAGAGACGTCTTCAGTAGCAGTCACTAAAATACTAACACTTGCAGTCACTTCAGTAGATTTTAATTCCTGTGTATTACTTGTCAGCTCTTCTAGCTGCTGAACTTTCTCATCTACTGGAAGCTATCAAAATATGTCATATCTACTTTTTATATTGTAGTATTAGTTTGTCTTACATTTCGTAAGTTACATATTTTACGCGCTAAATCACTGAAGTTACATTGTGATACATCAATTGTAGTCCAGAGAGCTCCATTAGTAAAATCCCCTCCACAGTATCTGAAAGCTTTTAATTCACTACCACTTGATGATGTATCATTGTCACCACATGGACAATCAACTATTGCTTCCACTCCAATATTAGTCTCTGGCCAGTGTACACTTATATCTAGACTTGTATCACCAGATTGAGA